GAAAACTGACCAGAGCGGAGACATCCTCTAGGTCCCGTATAGCCGTCGAAAACTTGGCAAATTGCCCTTGAGCAGACCTTTTAGTGACAGCACCGTTACCGTACGGAAAGCATACACCTCGTCACGTTTCGGTACTGTTTTGTTCTTGACGAGATGCATATACAAACAAGTCAGAAATGTACTTTTTTTTTATCACTCGAGACATCGATCTCTGAGAAGTTCTTTCGAATTGAGATAACACTCACCATTCAATACAGTTAAAACACGTTTATAGAGCAGGAAAAACGCTGTCAAACTGTATCTCATACGTAAACAATAAATAAAAGTGGGAAATAAAAATTCTTGAAAGAAACCGCGAGAACGCGTTATTCATCTTAATATATTTAGTGTTATAAGCGAATCCGGCGTACTTTGAATAATTTTTGAAGTCGTCAGGATAGAATGATCATTAATGTGTGTGAGGTACTCTCCTTCGTTTTTTACAGACTCGTTTCAGCTGCTCTGGCAGCTTCTATACAGCCGTATAGTTATTATTCGTGGTTTCAACTACTACTTCTCTACGCAGTTTATTTAATTCAGGCGTGGTGATGGGGTCTGGTGCTGTCATCAAATAAGCAAACTGCGTGCCTTGACCGCTATTCTAACGGCCCGTTAATCTATTGAGGACCCGAGATAGTGGGCTGCATTTATTGTTTCGTTGTCGGCAAGTATCAGCAAGTAGCAGACGCCCCTGAAGTCTACATCAAGTACTAACATCACCTTATGGTCGAACCTACTCGACACTGCCACCAAACTCGATCAGCGACAGCATTTTCTCGCCTGACTTTTATCCACCTGGTGGTGGAGATCGAGTTATGCCTTGTCTGTGGAAACCGTATGCTTTAGACAAGTTTTTTATTAATTAAGATTTCCGAAATTGCGCGTGGAACGCATCACATGCAAGTGGCCTGGGGTCAATTCACAGAAACATCATTTTTTTTACTTAGTTTCCATATTTTCACTCCTTAGGTTATAATTCGGTAACACGTTACATGTGAAACGCCAATTTTGATTAATAGAGATTTTAGATTCCAAGCTTTACACCTGTTAAAAACCTTCTCAATTGAGCCAATGTTTTCCTGTTCTTCGGGCTCCCAACATCTAATGACCTCACTACCTCGCTGGTCTTCAATACTAACTTACGTTCTTGAAAGGTCTGCACTGTTGAGGTACTCCGCTTTCGCTTAAGGCCTCCTTGCCTTATGCCTACACCAATCATCAATGCATTTCCGCTAGGCCTTCGAAGAACAAAAACTCTACAACTGAACATTGATCTTCGGGATCAAACGACGTTTTTGCTTTATTTCTCCTAGGGTAGACTCAGCCGGCTTTCACTGCTATGTTGCTAGAACACAGTAATTACTAGTCAAACTTCGTCTGCTAGCGGCATGTAGTTCAAAAATTATTTCACTTCAGAGTTCGCCGGATTCGCTCGTACAGTGCAGTATTTGGAGGCCGTGTTTTCCGGCATGGTCAAGCAGAATCACTGATGCTTATTGTCAACTTTCTGCACCTTCCGATATCGTCAGGGTAAAGAATCATTTTCATACAGCTGTGCCGTTGTTATGTGATTTGTGAGAATTGACCCCTGATGGAAAACAAGAAAGGCGACAAGTTTCGGGGTTCCCCTGAGGCGAATCCTATTTTCCGTTCAACACCGACCCGTTCCGAATTTTATCGATTTTTGTTTTATCTTATAAAAGCTGACCCAAATAGAAAGCAAAACGTTTTAGGGCGCTTTAACGATCTTTGAATTTTTTTCTCTGTGAGGTGCAATGCTGTTAGAGATCGCGATTGTAACTACATATATTTATTTGAGGAACTATGGCCCCGACGAAAAAATATATGCCTTTAATATACATCTATTCATGCTCATAGAAATGCTTAAGCTTTCTATTTTAGGAAGATATTATTTCGCTGAGAAATTTCGAACCACTTCAATAATTATTGACAAGCTTATAAACCAGCCGCCCTGATATGAGTTTGCTATGTGACATTATTCGGTAATATAATAGAAACATAAACAGTATCAATCAAAACATTCTGACCTTCAAAGGATAGAAATTCGCGCGAAATTAACCGTCTGCTATTTTTGTGGCACCCTCGGTTGACCCCGCGTTTCTTGCTGTATAGGCTGGCGTTACGGCTAAATCTTCCCTATGGACTGAAAAGTTAGATGACTAGGTAGTGCTAAGTTAGGTCACACTGAACAACAGCAAGTTGCAGTTGTATCACCAGCTTATCTTGAATAATATACGCCATCCACATTTATTTCAAAAGCTCTAACGATGAAAGATTAAGCCATTTTCCTACTTCCTACATCACTCTATTATATTTTTAACACTAAAATATTTATATGTACATAAAACATTTTTGATTATCTACGCTGCTTCACGTTACTGATCATGAAGTTTCGAATAATCAGCTTGTGCTTCGATGTACAGCTCGTCAAATTATCTTTTTTCCCCAGATTCAGAAAACAAAAGACCAGACTGAGCCCTAACGAAGTTTTCACGGTGCGCCTAAGAAACAGTCGGTAGAAAAGTCAGGGTTTATAAATATATATACTTTTGAAATTCACACATATTTATCGCAAAATGTATGATCGAATTCTATGTAGTCTGCTTGTTTCAAGCCCAATAGCACGAAATCACCATTATTTGGAACAGTACCATTGACAGACGATTGGTAGAGACCATTTCATAGTTTGTGAATTTGTGTATCTGCATGTTTTGTATTGTTATATAACATGTATAAAATGGCCGTAGTAGTATATTTATAGTATCAGTAGCTTCCAGTCGCACTCGTAGGAAGCAAATTTTGAGCTTGTTCCGCCTGAAAAGCAACAATTTTCCAAAAAGTGCCCTCTACGTTGGTTATTTAATTAAAGTAAAATAATTTCAGCAAACATGTGCTCACGTAATGTGCAATGTACTCACTAGAAAAACTGCACATTAAAAAATAATATAAATATGAAGTTCCTGAGCTTCCCCAGTTCTGTCTATTCGCGGTGTTGAACATGCACTTCGTATGTCTTCCAAAGGTTCATAAGTAAATACGTTGTTTGGCCTAATACACTCCCTAGCTAGAAAGGCATACAACTGCCGATCATCCTACAACACGGATAGGCAAATTGTCACGATATATATATATATATATATATATATATAAGTGTATGGAAAGCATTTTCATAATCATGAGCCTTTTTTTTCATGATCTGTGCAGTAAAATGATGTGAAGATACGCGGCATGACCCACCCGTTTGTCGATACATAGGACTAACCCTTATTAGGTTCACTTGCCTACGACACACCTTGTAACAACTCGTAGCCGCACCTACCTCAACTTACTGCGTGGCAAGTCTAAGGTTAAGTTAGCAGTAAAAAATACTTTGTTCTTCAAAAACGAAGAGTTAGTTTCTTTCCTGATTAATACTTGAATTAGTCGCCTCAATGTTGTACAGTCTTTTCCAGTATTAATCTGCCAAAGAAAATCGATGTCATACTTCATTTTTCCATACGTTACTTCACCTTAAAAGACCGGATCAACTTTTTTTATTTTTTAGATATCTTATTACTACGGAGTCTTCTTATTTCAAATAATCATAACAGTGCCGGAGAATTCTAGTACAGCCTTAAGCAATCTATTTCATGTTTGTATTTTTACAAGGCCAGATCTAAAGAAAAAAAAATATCTAGTTTTTTTGCGATACTTCCATAAATGTTACTACAATGTTGAGACCATGGAGTTTTGTTTACGGTGAGATTTACCATAAACTTGCAAAAGTCAAAGAACGTTAAATGATCTAAAAAGAAAAAATGCAAACTAGCGATTACTTCACATATTTTTAACTTTCAGTAGAAGCCATAAGGAGAAATAACAGTTTTTCTATGTGCTGCGACAAGGAAACAGGGTCATATAAATCATTTTAGTAGTAATGATACATAATAAAGTGTTAAATTCCCTCGTTCTAACAGATTTCCGCAAAAAACAAGTTATTATTAAGCATAGTATTAGCAAAAAATCTTACATCCCGGGCAGACGAACGATATTTAAAAAGTAGTTTGCCTTGCAATTTCAGATCCATTTTGTTAGAACCTAATACTACGAGATACAGAGGTAGTTCGTTTCATTCTACAAAAAGAGGAAATATTGTTAGCGCATATGATAAAAATTAGAATCAAAAGGAATAATCCTTTTTCCATATTACGATCACAAACCAGAAAAAAAAAACTAGTTCGTTAAAAGTCAAAAGACCCAGTGGCTTTATGAGATGAACTCATTCGTATAATGGACCATTTCTTGAGGTCCATACACAGAACTTGAATTAATTCAAAAGAGATCAAGCACAATGAGAACGAGGCCAACTAAATCTGCCCTCAGTATATTTTTAATATTTTAATTTTTATTTAGTAACCTTTACGGTGCTATTTTAACGGCGTCAATTTTCTAATAATAACGGTATTGGTATAAGAGCTTCTTACCTGTCATGCATTTTTTATTCACTAGCTTACTTAATCGTAAGGACGTGAAATAAAAACGTTTGCTGGCTAATCACACATATTGTTATAGCGTTGCATTCTGCGATTACAAAATCATGCGAAATGGTACAATATTGGCGCTTCTATTTAATTTTGAAATTATTGGAAGTATTAATTAAAAGTTTTGGACTACATTGGATGACTTTACTCGTTACGACACCAGTTGCGTCCATTGCTTACCCTTCTTTTACCAAAGCAATTTTTCGAATGGGTTCATTCGCCGGTGCCTACAGGTTTACTGCATTAGCTCGTTGGTCATCTGGTCGATTTAAATCAGCGCGCTCTTTCGAGCGCGAGGGGCACCTGCCAATGAACGCCATTGTTGTCAGATAGAAAGCTGACGGCCGAGCAAGATGGCTCTCAGTATAAATGCAATGCTGGTCGGGAGCGGAGCAACGCCATCATTATTCAATACCGAAGTGGAGAATTTTTGCAAGAAAATTAATTTGAACCTCGCAGGTGCACCAAGAAAGAGGTGTACATATATTGGTAGATATGCAGTGAGTCAACTTTTGCGGAACGATCGTATAGTGTTGCCCGCTCCCGACTATCCTCGCATTGTAAGTGTTCCTTTTCATTTTGTCAGTCTGTACGAGTGGAAGCTACAAGAGCGCTATCACTGTACATCTATGAGATTGGTGTTGGTTCAATGGCGGCATTACAACGCCAGGGTATCTTGTAGGCTAACGGGAGAGACAGCTTTGTCTGCAATCGAAAATTTTAATACTTTGTAATATTAGATGTAGCGTATAAGTACTTAATGTCTACTGCATTTGTGTTCAACAGACATATGGACACTGTGTGATAGATCTGTTGCCTTCGATATATGCTTACCAATAAGTAAAAACCGTAACATGTGAGCTGATGCTGGTCTGGGTGTCTAGTATCGACAAAGTGGTAGTGGCTTTATAAATATCCCAATGTATGGCAGCGTGGTCGGTCTGCGCTCGTTCCGAATCAGTGCTCGCTGTCGCTGTTGTTCTGGTTTACACTGTGTTTATGGTCATCAGTCAGTGTATGTCCGCTGTTCGCACGGAACCATCGTTTCGCGACGGCAAGAAATGAACAAATTGCAAGCATACAATCACTATGCCTTTTCAGCAAAACGAGTATGCCGTTCGCTACCGGACGAGTACCGGACGCCAAAAGCAAGACAGCCTATCCCATGAATGTTTTGCTGAAGGGGTTACACCGGTGGTTACGTTGTTTTTCAGTCAATATTGTGCTAAGAGGTTGAGAGTAGCTGCTTAATTGAGAGGTGATTTAGAATTTGAATTTGCAGCACTACTCCTGCTCCGTAAATGCTATATGAATGAAAAATGTTATTCTAATTATTATTATTTGTAATAATAGTACTAATAACGCCTATTGAATATCGTGTGCGTGTTCGGTAGCCACCTGAGTCATTTTCATGGACGAGATGATGCTTGATCCCGCTACTATCAGCTGTAATACTGCAGCAATAAGATCAAGATACTTTCACTGACTTATCGAAGGCTGGTGTTGGTTAATTAGCTACTACCAGCTCATGCGTTTCATTCTAGTGTAATATGTCGTCTCTATTATATTTTGTTTTTTATCTGCTCTGGCTGCGATTTATTCCTACGGCGCGGGAGGCGACAGTTGCGGTCGGCCACCTAACCTCAGAAGACAAACGGCGTCTCCGAGTTCCTCAAAGGTGTTAGCAGACGGCGCAGTTTACTATAATATCGTTGTTATTATTATTCATTTTATTGTATCTAGGCTTACATATCGAGCCGTTGTGTACTGCCCTTTTCTATGGTCGTTTAGGCGTAGCTCGAGGTTGTTGCCACCATGCGCCTCACTCGCTGCTTTGTGTTAGTAGGTAAATAGAATGTTTCATAAGCTTTTACGAGCGCAGTTTACAAGCCGTTGAAAGATAATGTAAATGGGACAGAAATTTCTCGTCAGTCAGTAAATAGACAATCTGAGTGTCGATAAGTCATCAATATTTCTAATGGATACTCCAAAATGTAGATGTCCATGCGAGACTGTCCGACCTGAATTTTAGCAAAAGAGACTTCTACCACCGTTAGCCAGAATTGCTTTCTGATAAATATACAGAGGGAAGTACCTGTAGCGATAAATTAAAGTCAATATCCCGCCGACACGTATGCGTATGCTGATGCAAAAAATCAAAATAAAAATCGATGGCCATGATAATACTATGGCATTTGCTGAAGCGGAGTGTGTTGGTTTTTTAAATTTGTATATTCACGGCTTTAATCTCCTAATAAGCTAATTGTTATTATTTAGTTCTTTAATCATTGTTTCAGACACGGTTTGGTTTCGCTAATATAAAAGCATATCATTCCCTCGTAGAATACGCTTGAAATGCTTTGAAATCTTTGATCACTTATGACCGTAAGTAAATGGAGATGTAACGTAGAAGAGTGAAAACCTCTCTAACGGTTCTATCGTGGTCGAAGGGGCTTAAAGGCGGAATAAATTTAGAGAACATGGATCTAAAAGGTTCAGTTAGAAATTACAAGTAAAGTTAAACGTATAAAACCTTTTCTGGTCATCCGCATATACCTCACAGGCCATTGTAAGAGGCCGCAAGATCGCTATGTACGTAGAGTTTATACGCCCTGTTAGTTCCTCTTTTCTATTTTACTATTAGTTCAGGTAGGTATCTTGCCATCTATTTTTAGAAATATCACATATCTAGTTCAGAAAATCCAAATGTTGCTTCGCTGTCATGCTAGAGCCGGAGATTTGGAAAATCGTTTGGAAGGTACCCGACAAACGTAGGGTTTCGACTAGTTGCCCGGTTCTCGGATCCATTCTGTAACTGGGCATGATATGGTCGAGTGGTTTCGGCACAAGCCGACAATTTAGCGAAATCACAAAGTGGCGTTAGCTGCAAATGGTGGATGGAGAAGATGCTTCTTGTCGATAATGGCCCCTATATACTATTCTTATTGTGTGTTGCGGCTACCGGTTCCGGCGATTACCTGTACCGGTAGCGTTAGTTGACGATCCACAGACTGTCTGATTTAATGGCACCGTTGATGTTCCTGGAAAGAAAAACTATTGCCCTATAGAACTCGTACGTTTGTAGAAGTATACGTAAACGCCGCGGGTTGTGGAACGGTAGTGGTCTGGTAGATGATTATCGATAGATTGGCTTACTGGCCGAATGTCACCAACTCATGTCTACTTGATATTCTGACGCTATATAGTAAACCAACGTCACTTGCTCATTTGTTGTAGTTCTGCTCAGCGAAGCGAGGAGCAAATTATGATTTGGCTTGGGTTTGTTATTGATCTGTTGTTAAGAGCGTCACTGCAAAATAGAACTAAGTTATGTAGATAGACACGAGATGGATCATAATCTCGATTTGCCAATGTAAGTATAGAGATGAGGTTTAAGGTTAAATGCAAAGTATTTTTTTTATATGTAAAATCGCCCTTTGCAGTAGAGATGACCGAATCGTAATGTCACGTGTATGATTTTAACTGCAGCAATTATTAATCCGCTTACAGCCTCTTTAGATGAATTACATGTACGCAGCGGCTATCACAGCAGATTTTCCAGCAGTAGACTCACTACAGCTGTACCTTAAAAAGAAAAAATCTGAAACATAAGATATACATGTTAATTTTCAAGTGCCAACTTCGATATAAAGTTCGGAACTTGCATTAGGCTACATTTTGCATCGTTAATGATACAGATGTTTCTGTGAATGCTTGAAATGCTGTTTAAAAAAATGAAAAAAATGAAAGAATGCATAGAAAAATGCATATTTATAAAATGAAAACTTAGCAATGCTATTTCCCATGTAATCTATGCTTTAACGTTTATTAAACATTCGTCAATCCATAACGTTACGTTAATCTATAACGTCAAGCAACTTAACCATGTTAACATTAATGATACTAGGCATAGCTGCCTGATGTCCTTGCGTTATGCGAATAATGTCTTTAAAGCTACTAACGGACTATCGTTAGTTAATCGGCTTCAAGGTGCCAAGTGAGCAAATATCTGATTGTTGAAATACACTTCATACCGAAGCTCAGGGGAACTTACAAGAAAGCTGTGGCTAGTGGCTACGTAGTGTCTTTAAGAAGGTCGAATTTCTAGGCCAAACGCCGTTGATGTCAAACGACAGGTGGGCAAAGCATCTCAGTTCACGCGCCAACAATGCTATAGCACTTTAGATAGGCTGCTATTGATTTAGCTTGCACCGGTAGTTGTAGGCCATTATGGACCTTCCCGCGTTCATACTGAGAAGAAAAAACTTTTATCATTTAAAAAATGATAACGAAGGGTGAAATAAAACCGAATATTTGGAGTCTCGTAGTTCACACAATTTAAATGATGATTTTTTTTTTACTAATGAATAGCGGTAAGTAGTTTTTTAAATATCTTTTCCTAAAGTAATAGTTGTTTCACATTCTTAAATTAAAAATTACAGCGAAACAGTTTCGACTCCGCGAAATACTCCATAAAACCTTGATAATTAAATTCACGTTTGACTATAACTGCATTTAATATTAAAATCAGTCTTACGTAATGAACTTATAAAAGGGAATTGGCGTTTATTTTAAACACTTTTAAAAAAATTTTGACGTCACGTCTACAGCATCGGCTCTTGTGGAGACATTTGAGATAGATCTGCTCGAGGATCACTTAGTCGTTACCTAGGAGTTCCAATTGATTTATTTGTCGACCGTTACAGTGAGATGATTCGAGTATAGTATAGGTTGGTACGATGGGTAGGCATGTAGTGCTGACTACCCCAATCCCCAGTTGACATTTAGTTAACGCTTTTGTACATCTTTTTGATACCACAAACGCGTTCCGCATCAAATTTTGCATCTCTCAGAAAAATAGCAGCAAAGAAAGCACGAACAACAATAGTCACATATTGAGCCAAGAATCAATGCACAGGGAGAAAACGACAAGCGATGTTTACTCGAACTACGTTTTTTAATTAATACATGCACACGCGTTATAAGCGAAGGGATGTTACCTTCACAGATTTAGAGTACTTGACTTTTGCACTGGTCATCCAAAGTAAGAGGATATTCTTTCATTATTCGGTCTTTCTATGTATACCCGAAGCGTTGATTTGATGAAGGTTGGATAGAAACGGTTTGAAGGTTAAGTTACAAGAAGCAGTTAATTCTCGGTACGCATTGCGCCGATCCTAGACTTAACAAAAGAATTCATGCAGTACTCGCATCGGATGCACCCCCAACATTTATCTTGAAGAACATAGAACGGTGTTAACCTCTTCACCGATCTATGTCAACTTGGCTAGGGGAGTGGTTTCCAAAGAATATACAAATTGCTCTGGAAAACAGAAGTGCGTGTTATGTCAAGCGCATTGACTTTCCTAAAATAGCTTTGTAGCCGAATAACGGCATCTAATGGAGCAGAGATTTAATCTCCATTCAACTGTACAGAGGTTGAATGACACCTTTAATAATAGTTGTTTTTCCCAAAATCATATTCTGTGAATAATAAGCTAGTATTTACTTCAACAACAAAGGTTTCTTACTAAATATCTGTTTTAAAAATAACGATCGATTCGTCACCGCAATGCTTGACAGCCCATCGCTTCATAAACACATTCAGTTGGAGTATAGATCCGCAATTGCCATACGTATGTATGATTGCATAATAAACTATTTTGTTACTTATGTTCAACCTGTTACGCGATGTAAGTTTTGCTTCATCTCAAAACTGTGAAAACGAGCAGGGCTTTAAGGACAGCTGCATCTTAAGTACACGATATAATTATGCATACAAACAATGATAACAAGTGTATTTCCTATTATTTTACGGTCCTCTTGAAGCTAGTATCTGGAAAATTGTCCATTACACGTACGTTGGATCATATCAAGCATAGCTGTTTAAGTTAGCATTTATAGAATTTCGGTAAATATTGCACATTCATTTATCTGGGCAAACAGCTTATCAAATTGTTGGATTGAATAAGAGATACCTCTACTGTGACGCTTAGTGAAGATCACAAACAGGGATGTTTAAATGCATTAGAATGACATTAGAGGCCACTGGCTTTTTTAATCTACAATGCGAATTGTAATGGTTGTCACAGTCCCTATTAGTGGTTGTTTTTTTTTAGATCGCCACATATGTTGTTTGTGTTTTAGCAATATGAGCGTAAATGAAGGAACATTTTAACTACAAACATTCGGTTGGTGTACCTGAACGGTTGATTAATCCAGGCGGCAAAAGTAATGTAAATGTATCCTTCGAATGGGCGAGGATCGAGTTTGCCTTATTCGTGGGGCATAGGTCCGCCTATCTTACTCTTGGAAGTGAAGTATAATACTCTAAAGGTTATAGTTATTTTTTGTTTAGCCGCGGGTCTTATGCTCATATATTTCTGTAGTCAAACTTCCGTACCGATCAACTTAATCATTCATACATGTTCACTAATTTTGCTCCGATTAGCTTTCGTGCATGCGCACGTGAGTCAGTAGCAAATGTAAACCTCATTGAAAACGGGGCTGAACTGTCAACACGATTTAGTCGTTTGCGTAAGTATTTTCAGGTACTACTTTATATCCTTAAACTTTACAAACTCAGTTTTGAAATTTTCCGGTAGGGGTTAAAAATATGTAAACTAATGCATGCTTAGCAGCTTTACATGTGATGGAGTTGTTCCATGCGTGTACAAACAATTAATCAAGCGCATGTAATTCCAGAAGTGATAAGCTGCTTTCTTCAATTTCAGCTTCGCTCGTATCTGTAACATATAGAAGGTCTCATCCACAAAGCCTGATTACAATGACTACTACAAGGTACGCAGACAACAATCGTAGACAGTCTCTACAACTTTTGGCCTATGTACATTATATAGATACTTAATTAGGATCCTTTAGCGCTTTTCGGCAATTCCAACAATTTACTTGATTAATAAGCTTTTGGCGGTTTAAAATTTAAATTTTTTGTTGGTTACAATTATCGCCGGGGCACCTTTTTACCATAAAGTTATAGGTGATCATAACGGTTGTAATTTGATTCTCGTTTGATATTATCCTAGTTACGTTATTATATGGTTTTCCGTATTACAGACTGGATCGCCTGTTTGTCTTGCTAGACACGGGACAATCTGCAGTCACTCGTAGGGCAGCGGCAAAACAATTGGGAGAGCTGCAACGGCTCCATCCACATAAACTTAACTATCTGTTAGCTAAGGTATAGACTCAGTTTTCGTGTTCAAGAGTATCCGATAGTTTGAAGACTTAAAAACATTTCTCTATGAATACAGTTAGTGTGAAATGTTTCGTGCGTTTCTTGGACATGCACACTAGTTAATGGGCAAAGGATGCCTAAGTAGGAATGCATCTTAGCGCATTATATAACTTTGGCCTACCAAACAATTTTTGACAGGTGCACAAGTATTTGCGCAGTGCCAATTGGGATACGCGAATTGCAGCAGCCGCTGCCGTGACGGCGATTATTGAAAATGTTCCTTCTTGGGCTCCTCCGCCTGTTTGCAAGGCCGAGCCAAATGGCGACGACGTGAAACCTTCTGGGGGTAGTAATTCTTTGCACGCAAATCGAACGCGACAACTTCGAGTATCAGAGTTCGACATCGATATAGTCATGAGAACAGGGAAGCATTTACTCGGGTCAGAAGGCAAACAATTTGAAAAAGTACGTCTTTACACGAATTTAATAAACGTAACTTCCTTAGGTTAAACTATTCTATTTACATTACTATTAATACACTAAGTTACATTATACTACATAATTACTATTCTATCTACTACTATAGCGCATAATTTTACGGAACTTAAATAAGACTAGCATTTCTGTACACAAAAATTAACGCTTTGCTTTTGTGTAGAATCCAGATAATGTTGACGGAGACGGGAGTGAAAGTGCAGAGGATCTTGCACGCCAAAAAAAAGCTGTCAGCAAACGATTGGGCTTCGACGTTTGCGAGAAGTTTGGAATGGCATCAGATGATCTCTTCACCGAAAACGACCTCAAAACAGATGCAGCAGATGAGTCAAATGGAGGTGTTGCGGAAATCAAAAAGGTAAGTTATATTGAACAATAAGAATTACAATTTCGAGACTATGCAACACAAACATGAATTTAATCGACGAACCTGCTTCAAGCTTTAAGTAAAGCCTAATTTTTCGCTCCTCTTTTTTCTGTTAGGATATCACCGAGGTTCTTCAAGGCCCAGGACCTCAGCCTTCAAAAAAACGCAAATTTGATTTTGATGAGCCTGATGATAAAAGCAATGGAAGCAACAGCAGCACAAGCACACCTCAGGCGGCTCTGTCTGAAGCAGACGTGTGTTTCTCTGAAAGAGCAAATAGTCCAAGCATAATGCGTCATTTAGCATTTTGTTTTATATTCCTAAAGATGAATTATCGGTTCGAAATAGGTAGAAATGACTTTAATCCGTATGCTACTCGACCGTACAATTTGTTTTCAGTGCACCGAGTGGCCGTTGACGATGTTTGCAGAGGCTTTAATGGACGACTTATTCAAACCGTCGTGGGAGACAAGGCATGGCGCTGCGACGGCTTTGCGTGAGCTTACTAAATTACATGGTACCGGCGCCGGCGTTGCCAAAGGGTAAATATCGTGATACAGAACTTCGCAGAAATCATAGTTCACTTATACGTCTTGACAAATATAAAGTATTACTACGAGTCGAACAGCATAAGTTTAACGTAGATGACTACCGGACGCAAAAATCGAAACGTAGAGATACATACGTAGCGTATTTAATCACACTTATGTTTCAGAATGACCCGTGACGAAATGGTGGCTTCGAACCAGCAGTTTCTAGAGAATCTCGCATTGAGGCTTGTCTGTGTATTGGCGTTAGACAAGTTTGGAGATTTCCTTTCAGATCAGGTATACGGCCTGGCCGGGCTTATGTTATAGGCTTGTCCACGCAACTGTTATACAAAGATTACTGGTATGAAAATCTCATTTAACACAAGCTGCTCTTTTCAATTTCAGTGTCGAGTTTTATAATTCTTCAAAATATTTTTTAAATCACATTTGCTGACTAATCACCCAATCAAAAAGACTCACCGCATTTAAGTGAGTCAGGCGTAAAAACGTAGAGTATGAAACATAGCTGGAGCATTCGTCAATTTCAATCCAGCGGTCTATAATACTGCAATAAATAATACTCGACCCAATATTAGTTCGTTTTATTACAATGATGAAAAGTTAGCGTTTCGCTTGCTTATAACTTTCCTCGTGAGCCCGTTTGCTCTATCTCAAGTTCTACATGACGTGTCTTCTTAAATTACAAAGTATAGTGTATGGTCTCTGTTAGATAGTGATCACAATACGCTAGCTAAATGAGTTTCTGCAAAATACCTATATTATCTTAGATTTGAAATCGGTGTGGCGATAGTCCTACGATTGTTATTTTAATGATAACAAATCTCTTTGATTCAGGTCGTTGCACCTGTTCGTGAGACCACAGCGCAGGCGTTAGGCTTTTGTTTGCGTTTGATAGAACCTGCGAGAGTTGATGCCTTTCTCGACATTCTTCTCAAAATGGCTGACTCAAGGGACTCGTGGGAAGCGAGACATGGCGGATTACTAGGTAAGGAAAGCAATGACGCAACAAATTTCGCTGACGAGACACTTATATGAGTATGCGCCTGAACACCTTCTTCTTATGAGATAAATTCAAAAAATCGAGTAAGTGAAAACTTGAATCTTTTTTTAGGTATTAAATATCTCTTAGCTATTAGTGGCCAGACTAGCAGTACGCCTGTTGGCGATAACGTGGCCCCAGGAAGTGGATGTGCTACCGTTGGCCGAGATACGTGGCTACCTCGGGTATTTGGGCCACTTTTCGCGAGTCTTCAAGACGCCAACGACGATATATCAGCGGTGGCTGCCGCAGCTTTCTTACCGATCATTGAGGATTTGCCGCGTTTACTTCCGCAGCAGGTAGACAGAAGTAGATTGACGTTCATATACTTCAAATAAAACACTTGTTGCTTCGTATAAATTCTAATTTTTGGCAGTGCTTAATCTTTGATCGATGCTGAGTGACAAAATATTATAGGTAGTACTCTCGTAGATGCTTGAAGTATGTATATAAGAAATGCGAGTTCGGTTCTAACATGATAACCTAATGTGTTTCCAACAATCTGTTTCCTTTAGATCCTTCCTCTGTCCGAACGACTCTGGACATGTTTGAAGGAGATGGATGAACTTTCGTCATCTACGCACTCAATTTTAAGCCTCCTGTCGCATCTTCTTCCACACGTTTGCAAATTAAGGAATAAAACAGCAGTAGAAAATATCGATGACGACGGACCCTGGGTCTCGCCAGGAAAGATCGCTTTACTTTGGCCATTTCTTGACCATCATTCGTTTAATGTGCGTGTGTCGGTTCTCGACTCACTTCGAACAATTGCTGCTACAGAAGGCGAGGGCAGGTAGGCTTAGTATCGTGTTTGTTAAAAAGCGAAGGATGTTTCATACGGTGGGTCTAAGAAGCTGACTGACTTAACCAAAAAACATTAAAGGACATCTTCTTTCACCATTTAAGTTGGTTTCGATATTATTTATCGTTTTTTGAAAGTAAGCCTTCTCAATTTGTTTCTGCTGTCTGTTTGGTATCACTGTTGATTGACGCCTTATAGCCCACTGGTGACGACGCAGCTATCGCCGGCTCTTCGATTGCTGTTCCAACGTTCCTTGCTTGAGACAGAACCCGTTGCAACCAAAGCTGTTCAACAGGTATGAACGAAATGAAACAAATTGTCGTAGCATTAAAAAGCTGTAAAGGCTGTTCTGGTCTGTGTTCCGGATGTTGTGAGCGGAGTTATTGATAGTGAAAGACGTATTCCGGCACTACGGTTTCTAATCAGTTTTAAAAATCTGCACAAAAGCGAATGCTATAATTGGTATTGGTACCTAACTTCCAGGTGTGGGTATCAATTCTGCGGAGTGCCAATCTCTCTCACTTGCTTTTCTCCGCTTGTCCCCTCCTCGCTGGGTGGCTTTGCCTTACAATGCATCCTGCCAAGATGGCTGTGGATCCAAGACAGCAAACTGTTTGGTTGGAAACAACAAAATCCCTCGGAAAGGTATATACACCTATTACAATTCGTTCTCAGTATCCTGTAAATGCTTCCTACAAAACTTTTTTTTATTATGGTTGGTCGTATTCATTTTTTCGTTACCGTTCAGTGCTAGTTTCCAGAATAAAACGGTCACAATTTAAAAGTTTATTGCCCTCCCAGTCATTGATTTTATTTATGCTGCATTTACAGGGCGGAGAGTATTATATTGCTGGTAAAGAATCTTTAGCGGAGTCTCACGTTGCTCGTCAACGCCTTGTTTTGCGGGCCCGGCTTGCAGCATGTCAGATGTTGGGAGCACTGTCCTGCTTCGTAACAAGACGAGCCCCCGGCGCCGAATACACTGCTCCTTCCGAGGGACCGATGGAATGCTTTGCCCGTCTGATAGGTTTCCACCTCGCCAGCAAAAGTGCGCTTCAACGGACGATCGTCGCCCTAGTCGTGCGAGAGTGGATCGAACAGCGCCGACAGAAGTTCGTAACATGACCTTTTAATAAGCTATATATCTACGTTGAATCTTTATCTCCGCAGAAGCTCATTTCTGCCGATCTTTACCAACTATCTTGATTAATTATGAGTTACGATTCTGCTTTCTTAAAAACGAATTATGTATTCGTCCTCCGTAGTACTTTGTTTCTTTCTGAAATAGCGTCTGCGAGTACAAAACATCCAAATATTATACTTACATATAACATGATCCTAATTGTTTGGTGTGTTAATTTTCAGGGAATTTTTGTTTCCTGACGAGCCGTTAGAGGAATGCCCCCGATCGATATCGGATAGTGTTATTCAGTGCATTCAAGAACCCGTTCTTTACGATGAGGTATGGCAATTTCTATGAGTGAACTTTAGGTACAGATGTGCGGTAGTTTGAATTAAGTTTTAATAGTCCAAAATTCTATTATATTAATAATGAGCACCTGAAAGTAACAACAAAGCTCTCCCAACAACCTGGTTACTCTAATTTCTGGAATAGAGGTTTACATTTTCCTGTGTCGTGTAACTTAGTATAGACAAAACTCTGATAGCTTTTTAGGAATTATTCTCAATATCCAGTCCTCCGTTTCATATCCTACATCCAAATTATCTTGTCAGGTGGCATCGACATTCACGCGTCTTCAGCAGGACTGCCGGGATCTGATCGGGTTGATGCGGCACTACTGTCTGCCAGTGGATAAGGTGGGCTCATCTCTTGGACTTCCTGCTCTAGCCGCATGTGGAATTGGACAAGTGCTCACTGCAGACCAGGCGACGCTTCTCGCCAGAGAGGTAACTACTGACCTACAACATGAATCAACCAACCGCTGCCAGAAAGCAAAGCAAAGCTACTATCAAGGAAAGATACCCTGCCCTCGTGGATGGCACGGTGATGTGTTTGATGGTGATAAAAGCGGCCGCCTCTCACCCAGGCGGACCGAGTGAATTGGAACGTCGCGTCCGAAGCAAAAAGCCCTTCGAGGGTGGATTGTTCTATATATCCCGGTAATTAAATTATCGAAAATGGATGAAAACATGGCAGATGTCAGAAGGTAGATAGCACAGTGGCCTACACTCTTGCCGGATGTCACACGGTAAATGTAAAGCCAGAACACACGTATTGTTAAATGAGCAAGTGCAATATCAAGCGAAACTTTCAGGTCATGGTTTTTGAGGCGATCCAGCTCTTCAAAGTGTTAGTTAAACCTTTTGATTAGGGTGTGTGAATGGTAATAAAAAGACGATCTGCTCGACCTTGTTTGGCCAATTCTGGAAACAAACTTGGTTGGAACTTAAGGCGGAAAGCTTTCTATTTCGTAGTTGAGCTGCAAGCGCGTTTGTGACCAGCTGTCCATCTATTGCGTTACTTTTTCCAGGTATTCGATGAAGTCGTATCGTCCGCTAAGTTGAAGCAGAAATTATTGGATAATCTTGATGAGAAGCGACGCATGGTTCTAAATTCCGCAAAAACCGCTGCTAGGGATCATCTTTCTCTTGGCACAATGTAATTGCGAATAGTAAATTGTCACGCACAAATTCACCGTGTTACATGGCATAAAACGTGAACAGAACTCAGGTTACCATTTTATTTATATGAACATTTGAGGAGATAGCTAAGTGTAGTGCTTGCTCAGGCAGTATTTCTAATACATATACGTATTTCAATTATTTGAAAAGGACCCAAGCAGCATTATCGACGTTGCTAGTCTGTCTTCCGGCTGATCGGTTACCCGTCAAGCTAAGTCCCGTGATCAAAGCGCTCATGGAATCACTACGACGGGAGCAGCACGAACCTTTACAGGCGATGTCGGCTAAACATCTGGCTCTCCTACTACAAATCGCCCTTTCCAGGTAAACAACTACAAAGTCGAAGACTTTTTCAAGGTGAAAAATGACTTCCCGTTCTACGGGCCAACAAAAAAGAGGTAACGCGAAATGCCGGTCCTTCTTTTTTACATGTTTTATCACCCTTCAATCGCCCGTTCGTAAAGCATTTCAAGCCGTTCAGTACCTAAAACTGATCACGTCAATCCTCACCGGACTACTAACGATTGCCAATGTTACCTTTCAATTTTAGAAGCCCGTGCCCAAATGGCAAGGTTGTCAGGAACCTGGTCACATACCTTTGTTGCGATCCGGATGAAACTCCATTGGTAACACCCGTACAGGGCCAGTATCAAACCGACGGCATTATGACCCTCCAAAAGATGACTAAGGTACAACCGAATTTTATGACTGTCCTTAGGCATTGCTGTCGTTTCGTGACACAAAATTTGCAAGTAAATAATTCCATATTTCATCATGGATGGAGTCGACCCGTCTTCATGAAAATTACAAAGCGTTACTGTTCTAGTACTAAGTGAATGCCGTATAAAGCTGGTGTATCCTTATTTCATAGGATAAAGGGGTACATTTTTATCTTTGGTTCTTGGAGCCCAATGTTCTTTTCCACGATGATGTAACTGCGATAACTAACTGATGTATTTTTATTTGTGCCTGTTATTCTTGATGCCAACTCAAAAGAGACTCTAAAGCATAGAGAATGCGAGGACTTTTGCATAACATCTTGTATAATAGCGAGTACCATCGATTAGTAAATGTGATTTTTAGTTATTTCACTCTAATATATTTGTGGCAGACAATATATGGATCTAACTTTTATGATATTCTGTTAGACGGCCGAGCTGATGCTAAATAAGAAGCCCTGGTTACGTAGGAGCCAGTCACAAATTTGTCCGACATTTCCGGCAAATCCGTTAATTCCTGTCAGTCCCTCGCCACAAGCGGCGAACCAACAGCCGCCTGAGGTAAATTTCAGCCGAACGTATGTCCGTATGGATCAAATACATAAACGTATCGCGTAATCGCGTTTCTAATTGGGAACAATTTTTATCACATGTTGAATTTGTCTTCCTAAACGGAGGAAGCATTGACATTTATCAAACGCACTGTAATGTAATGACTTAATTGATTTAATCTATTTAATCTCATGTCTTACAATCATATAAGCCCTACAACAAAATTTATTTTCTATTACAATGAAAAATTACACATATTTCAACCTCTAATACCAAAATTAAAGCTAAAAAGACCAATTTATCATTTTCAAAAAAACTTAGTATCTTTGGAAAGAACATTAAATGGTGGTTTAAAGTTTATGAATCTACTTGAATATTAATTCGCATTATTTTGACGGTGTGGTGTTTATCACAACAGTTCCCATCTGTTGGCACTGGATGCACTCCACTCACACCAGCCGCTATTGACGACGAACTACAGAAAGAACAAAAGCAATCTCAGGAAACACAGCGACGCGGCGCAGTTCTGGCATTTGGCGAAATTGGTGGGGTATTTGGCGAGCGTCTTTTCGAAGACCTGCCCACCGTGTGGGAAGCCATCGCTGCTCTATTACTCAAGGAAAGTACTTTTGGTAAGGTTGAGATAACGACGACAAGTTATCAACAACAATTGGAGCCTACGGACCTCTCAAAAAGCGGTAGAAATAAAACATCACCAAACTTATTGACCAATCTCGAAGCCTCAACTTCACCATCTTCGTCTAATACAACAACAACGCTTGCTACCGTCCGTGGGTACGTACTCTAGAGATACGTACAGGGTGCCCTATCAGAATTGGCGCACATTTTGGCGGGCTGTTTTTCCCCTGGGAAGCTTGAACCTCATTTCCTGGAAACTCGTTCTATTAAAAGATCGTTTGACTTATACAGGGTTACTTCGAGCAGCGCAAATTAGTTACCGTGTAATGTCTCCGCGTTGAAAGTTTTTACTGAGGTCATAAACTTCCCTTGCTGGTCTACGTTGTCGCTGGTATTTATACAGATTTCGTAGAACCTAAGGAAAATCCCTATATCAGTGCAATTCTACTACGAAAAAACATTCGAAGGAGCCAAACCTTTAAAAATAATATACGAATGCACAATGAAGGGGCACTGGTATCTAGGTTCACAATTCAAAGCAATTTTCTTTCGATGCATTTCACATAATTCATTAGGGTTTCGGGATGAAATGTGCTTATTAAGTCATTTTAAACATAGTCTAGTCGGCGATTTTCTCTTAGTTTCGACAGCCACTGATGCAAGGTTTACTTGAAGAAACAACTGGTAGTTGCCCCTTATTCTAAAAACGTTTTGTAAACTTGTGTAGATTTGGCGATCATAAACTAGTGAAGATGCTGCTGCCATTTCGCCGTGTTTCTTCTTCAAGATGAAACCGTTGCAAAAGAGCATCATGGGGCACTGTATAAAAGTGACAAAATTACGAATAAATATCCTGCTAAATTAAACACTGTTAAATAAAAAAAAAAAAGAAATAAAAATAAAAACACAAATGTAAAACTTTTAAGCAACTAAAAGCATAAAAGTAATGCAGCTGATAAACAAGCAGCGTAATTTTAACCCCATTCTTAACGAAATACCCTAGTAGTAGAGGTAATAAAAGTAGAAATAATACGTATGTGATAATTTGTTAACCAATAACTGCAAAGCTCAGTCTCGTTCATAGCATGTCCTGCTTCGCAAAAGCGGTGAACTGTTTGTTTAAAACCGGGCTCGGATCTCAGATTGTACTAACTACTCCTATATACAGATTTGCGAACTGAAATAAACGTGTAGGTCAGAACCAGGCGCGGGTTGGAATTATTTTATGGAATTCTAAAAATTAAACACTGCAGTAAACACTTTCGCAGATTAATCGAGTCCCTTCAGACGTTGGAAGTACTGACTCCATCGGTACATAAAAAGCTCCATCCGGAGCTGCGACGGCTTTTACCGCGTCTCGACCTCTGCTCACGGCATCCGCTTGCAGCAGTGCGACATATGGCTGCACGGTGCATCGCTAGCCTTGCTGCTGTGGATACCAGGTTTGCTTTTATAATGAAAATAAGTAATTTCTACTTACTATAATCGAAGTTGAATCGGCACCTCTTTTGTAGCGTATCTGATCAGTAATATACTCCATTTAACTGAATCCATCACAAATATCACAGAATGTGCTGTTTTAATTCATGACTTATTCCAGTGCAACCGTGTGTCATGTAATCAAACTTGGAGTCTTGTCTCAGCTGGGAGCTACCTCCCAGGACGACATCGTGAGACAGGGTGCAGTGGAGGCTATTTTCACGTTAGTGGAACGTCTTGATGTACGCGCGGTACCATTTATCTCGTTCTTCATCTTGCCCATTCTTGGTGCCATGGCTGACCAAAATGAACACGTTCGACTCCTCGCTACTCAAGTTAGTCCTTCAGAACGTTGAAAAGCCACATTGGCCGATATATGCATATGTGCAATGAATGTATGTGCGAGACTAGAACAAAAGTCAAATTTGATAACGGTAACGATTAGCATGAATCTCACGATTACATAACATCATGCTAAAGTTATTACCTCTATTATTATTTCTAACTCTACGCGATTTGGTTTTCCCTACTGGCGTTCTGCAGTGTTTCGCAAATCTAGTTCGCTTAATGCCGCTGGACGACGGAGTCTCAGGTCTGTCTGAATTATTTTCTAAAGATGAGGAACTTAGAACAAAAGCCCAAAAACAGCGTGGATTTATAGATCAACTGCTCAATGCTAATCATGCTGAAAATTATAAGGTAAGATTTCAGCATATGGCCTCACTGGTTCGTTTAAAGACTACAAATCCAACTCCTGTATTTATCTTAGAATCTCACAATCTTAGAATTAAAATGCAAGTAAACCTAAATAAAATGTCATTCGGTACAACACGAGTGTATGTTTGGTACTATAACACTTAAACTGCATAGTATACAATACACAAATAATATTATTATTATTATTACAGTTGTTAACTAACTGTATAATAGACAGTGAAAAAGTTCCACATTATAAATTTGCCTGTTCAGAATACAGTAGCTTTTTACCCTCAGAGGGTTTCGAGATCGGCTTTAATTGTTAGACTAACGCACACTTATGTCTGTTGGAATAGGAGCAGATATAGGTGAACTATATGCACAGCAGGTCTACGTTCTTTCTATATTATAAACTGAACACAAATCCGTCGATAATCCCCCAAACACTATATCAAAACAGTTGTAAAACTAATCGATTCTCGATGTTTGCAAATATAGGTGTCCGTTCCGGTTAAGGCGGATTTGCGCAGCTACCAACAGGAAGGCGTTAATTGGCTGGCATTTCTAAATCGCTATCGATTACACGGTATACTATGCGACGATATGGGTTTGGGAAAAACACTGCAGTCGATTTGCATGCTGGCCGAAGATCACGACCGTCGGCAACAGCAGTACAAAATTAATAAACATGATTTAAGTTTTGCACCATTACCATCGCTCGTAATTTGTCCACCAACTTTGACTGGACACTGGGTGTACGAAATCGACAAATTCGTATCTGCTAAACATCTCGACCCTCTTCATTATACAGGTAAAACAAAATTAATTGTTGCGTTGCGTTAGGTAGAGCGCGACGAGGTGGAGAGGGTGGAGGCAGAAGCAAATATTAATATTGGTTGTGCTTACTATGCCCGGAAAAAGGAACGATTGCCCGATGAATTAAAACATTAAAAACCTAGACAGAATAAATCTGTTGTACACGGTTTTTCTGTACAACATCAGGCAATCTCAAACATTTTATGAAAAGCTGCTGCTCAGAACTTTTACTAGATACTACAAATAAACTAAACAATCGTCATTTTTTGTTAGGTCCACCTCCTGAAAGGCAACGTCTCCAAGCACAATTTACATTGCGACAGGAACGCCATCGGTGCCACAACCTAGTTGTCGTTGCCTCGTACGACCTAGTGAGAAATGATATCGACTTTTTTAGCGCCATTCGATGGAATTACGTGATCCTTGACGAGGGACACGTCATTAAAAATAACAAGACCAAGGTGTGTCTGTTGATTCGGTAAAACTTTTTCGGTTTTTAGGACGGTTTCAAGCTATCCGCAAAAAAATTTTTAAATTAATATTATGTTAAATATGATGTCATTTTAGTATGCCTTAGAATTATAGTGTATACTACTATGGTGAATTGTTATAATATTTTTAATGGAAGTGTGCGCTGTCTCTAAACGGTAAATGGTATCCTGTAGCTGCAGGTCTGGGGTACAACAATATTGGACTCTCGTACCCCAGGGTTCTTTTACGACACGAAGATTTTCATAACCCTGACCCCCGAAAATAAATTCGACATAATGTTGAATATTGATCAATCTTCCTACCAAGAAATTGACGAAAAATTGTACAAATTCTTGCGGGTTAGTGTATAATTGGGTGGCTTAGCTCGGTCTATAAGTGCTGGTGATTTGCTACGATGTTTGTTTATAACCACCTGCCCTCACCACCAACCCTGGCCGAAGAACCAAAAGTGACGGAGTTTTAGCGAAAAACAACACTAGCCCTAGGTTGCCAAACATAATTATAAGCTTTTTTATTAACAATTATAAGCATTTATGGTGGCAAGGGTGAGTTGCTATTACAACAGAGAACAAGAAGGCCCTATCTTCTATGTCCTCACTTTTGATCCCCACACAAATCATGCCGCATTTGTCAAGACTTCTTTGCTTATTAATTTCTAGTCTAATCTAACCGAGATGAATAACTATGGTATTTTTACATACGCCAAACCTAAAAAAAAACATATGCCAAAACACCTGTCAATACCTCATTATTCACGAAGCGTAGTTTCAGCAGAGGGTCTTACATGAAACTAATTTTCAAATTCCGAATGTCCTTTCCAAATATGACTCAGTGTACTTCAGTAAGTAGTAGACTTGTACGGCCAGCTGTTTCTGCCACAGTAGTTCACATTTGTAAACCACTGAACTTTTCTGGATTTTCAGAATTCACAACTCTCCTGCTGAAAGATCAACTGACATTGCCCAAATGAACAGGGTTTCTTAGATGTCAAAAACAAACAAAGATGTGGCGAAATGTCACACCATTATGAAATAGCACCGTTCTAAAATACGAAGTAAACATTGAATTTCATATCAACTATATAATACTAGCAAATATTCATTTGAATCTGCACGGAAATTTAACTAATGCAAATCATGATTAAACGCACACTTGATGCTTTAATTCACAGCTTTCAAAGGCTGTCAAGCAGCTACGTGCAAGTCACCGATTGATATTATCCGGAACTCCGATCCAAAACAACGTGACTGAACTGTGGAATCTCTTCGATTTCCTCATGCCCGGCTTCCTTGGATCCGAGAAACTCTTTTCGGTCAAGTAAGATTTCGCTCAGAGGGATTCGGCAGGTTTTTCTATAGCATTTGCCTTATCTGCATTTCCTCTTTTATCAGTTTCTTACGTTTGGTTGTTTTAAGTTCCAAACTACAAATCGAACTCATGCGTACATGCGCGTGTCTAGAAAAAGCTCTACTATGCACGTCAAAGAAACAAGCAATTCGTTGGACTACGTGTAGTGAATTTTTGAACACTTCGCAGTGAAATTCAGCTAAATAAGCGGAAGAAAATTCCGGACTGTCGACGGCTGATATGGAAAATACTTACGTTGTAATCGTAACTTAACTCTGCATCTTGGCATTGCGCATGACTAAGTATGGATTCACGCCTCTTAAGTAAAAAATTGCTACATCATATGACATAGCTCATGGCTGGTTGATTTCTAATGTGTTGCATGTCTTTAATGATGATACAGATACGCAAAGCCGATTCTCGCGTCGAGGGAAGCGAAGGCATCTTCGAAAGAACACGAGCAAGGCATTTTGGCTATGGAAGCGCTCCATCGTCAGGTTCTGCCGTTTGTTCTTCGTAGGACAAAAGAAGATGTTCTGGCCGATTTGCCACCGAAGATCATCCAAGATTACTATTGCGAACTTAGTCCACTGCAGGTAAAATTAACGAAGAAAGGAGGATATGGAGAAATGGAGGTGTTATCTTTTGCTTCGTCTGGAAGTAGAAATCTTTCTTTTCTAATTGCTGTTATTTGCCGCATCAGTGAACGTAATTGTTTTTCCTTGATAAAACGTCCTTTGTTATTTTGCCTTACATGTTCCATGCCTTACAGCATCGATTGTACGAAGATTTTTCAAAGTCTCGTGCAAACAGCGAAATGGTCGAGGCAATAAATCGACAGGCCGCCGAGTCGTCCGCTGGTGCGGGAGGGGCGCAAACAAATCACCATGTATTCCAGGCCCTGCACTACTTACGCAAGGTTTACTGCATTCTTTTTTTCCAAACTTGTTATTATTTTATGCTAAATGTAGGTGGTCATAATTTATGTAATAATAGCATGAAGCATGAAGGAGATTAGATAATCTCCTTCCGCACGCATCGTAAACATCATACGTTGGTTATATAATGGGTCGCATAGTGTAATGCATAGCCGAAACAATAGCGATTGCATTTAGATCTTCTGCACATACTGTTTATGGCCGCATGCAGCAAGTTCAATTGGGTTAATTCCTAAAATGGTTCTTCGTTCAAAATTAACTATAAAATGTAGTTTTATCAACGATATACAGCCTGCTAGGTATCAGTTATTGAGGGAACGCTTTTGTGTGTATATTGAATGCAGGTGTGTAACCATCCGAAGCTGGCATTATCGCAGAACCATCCCGAGTATGATGCCATCGTCAAACAGCTGCGCGAAGACAAACTATCTCTTTCCGATATCTCTGTGTCGTGCAAGCTGCTTGCTCTCCGCCAGCTACTGCTGGACTGTGGCATCGGGTCAGAGCTAGGTCAGGCGATTGTCAATGCGCATCGATGCCTAGTGTTCTTCCAACTCAAGTCAATGTTGGACCTTGTTGAAAACGATTTACTTAAGAAATATATGCCAACGGTTTCGTATCTGCGTCTAGATGGCGCTATTCCTCCTGGTGACCGACACGCGCTGGTTCAGAAATTCAACAACGATCCCTCAATTGATTTGCTGCTGATCACAACCCAAGTATGATTCGCATTTAAATTTTACTTTCGTCGGAGTTTTGTTTAGTCTATTTGTAACGAATAAAGTCTTTGATTAACATGAGTCTCTATTCACATAAAGCACTGCGGTAAATGTACATGGTACAGCAATCGATTCGGACAGTCTATTCATTTTTTGCGATTTGATTTTATGATTTATTTTAGTTTACGATTGACTTGGCGTAGTACAAAGTGGTGAAACCTTGGTAAAATTGCACCACCTGTTATACCTTTGTTTTTACTAGGTTGGTGGACTAGGTTTAAATTTGACGGGCGCGGATACAGTCATCTTTGTGGAACACGATTGGAACCCAATGAAGGATCTCCAGGCAATGGACCGCGCACATCGCATCGGTCAAAAGAAGGTTGTTAACGTCTACAGGCTAATCACACGAAATACACTCGAAGAGAAGATCATGGGCCTGCAAAGGTTCAAGATGTCGATTGCAAATACAGTTATCAGTGGCGACAATTCTAGTTTACACACTATGGCCACAGACCAGCTTATCGACCTGTTCCAGGTTTCCGAGCCAGGCAAGAGCGGTCGACCAGCGTCCGGCAGCGACCGAGATGGCGGAAACAAAACCGGTGTTAAGGACGTCCTCGACCATTTGCCGGAGCTTTGGGACTCCAGTCAATATGAAGCCGAGTATGATCTTTCAGCATTCATGAAGAATCTTGTGAAGAAGGATAAGTAGTTTGTGATGATAGAAAAACACAGAGCAAAGACGCACATGGACAAACGCCATGCTAGGGACTGATTTTCTTTTACAATTTGTAATTATATTCTTTATTTCTTATATTCTGCTGCCCTTCATAACTGGGGGGTGTGCGCGCAAACCGGTATGGTTCTTTCATTGCACATATCCAAATAGATGGCACAACAGAAAGTTGACTAGGTTTCTAGAACTACTGTTTAGACATTCTTTTACACAAGCAGACAAATACATAACTTTTTTTTCATCGTCATTCAGGTCTCTATCGGAGCATTGGGGACCATCGAATACACAATTCATTTCGTTCATATATACTTATCATTGTCGTGTCGCTAAAAAAAAATTGACGCAACGAAGTGACTGCCCGGTACGCGAAATTTAGGGAGACCCTAACTGAGAGTTTGTGGTCATTATAAGTTGTGATGGAAAGTGACTGACCTAAAAAAGAAAATAATATGCTTTTAAGAAGAGTTAAATGTACGAATATACGACATGCGTGAGTTTAAAATATTTGTAGGAGCCTGCAATTTGTATTTCTTTCCTATCAATTTTTGAGCAGAAGGAACAACAACATAATTTATATACGAATATAGAATGACAGAAAGCGAAAAAATTGACAATGGTGGTGAATATGATGGCTGTTCGTCTAGTGTAAATGGTGACATCTCCTTTTGTAGATAGGAGGGTATCGCCGCCCTATGCCGTGATCGCTCGGGTCACTTTCGGGGTGATTGCAGATGGATTTAGCGGCCTGAGGGTAGCAGGGACTGAACAGCAGAGCTTGATGCAAGATGGAAGCTCTACCAAGCCAACAAAGAGATCAGCATGCAAACGCAATCATCAATCTAAGTTTACTAAAAAAGTAATGTACATTGTACCAGTTCAACAATGTGTCCAATTTCGTGGCGTTCTCTGGTTGTCGTTAGATTGGAAAACATCATTTGGAAATAATGAGTTTTGGCGCAATTAATTCAGCAGTTAGACACGTAACCTGTAGGCAGAACGATGATTTCAAAACAAAATCAGATTCCGATAAATTTCATATAAACTCTACCAGCTTTCTTGTTAGGATATAGCGATAGGTAGTGTTGCATAGGAAAACGCGTGCAGTATGATTGACTCAAGTCGTTGAGTGCGCTGATTGATTAGTACTCGTGTGAAATATATGTGCGGTTTACTTTGAGGTCTATTTAATCATAGGCAGCGTACGATTTTACATTTTGCTGTGTATGTCGAAAGCGTAACACGAGAGTGCACAACGCCATATGTTTAACAGCAGTCAAACGTCGCGTGTTTCCTTATTCCGAAATTCACATCACTTTTGACTGCTCATTTCCAGTCATGAGATATGGTGGTAGCTCTGCACAGCTCATTAGAAGCCGGCATTTGTGTCGAATGCTAAAATCAATCGCTGTACTTCTTTTCACTGATATGGAAAAATAATTGTGCTATCGTTGTTCTTGTAAAACATTTCACCGAAATTTAACGGTGCTGATTTCAACCATACATCTTCTATGATCCTTGTAATCAAACGAACGAACCCAAATGCCAGCTTAAAGTACGATAGAAAGCAATACTTTTCCCAATAACATAGCATCGGTGTTACTTGTAGCGTATCCACAAGATTACACCAACAACCTCCTGGCCGGGTGGGAGGGGTTTTGAAGAAAAAGTGGAAGAACTTTACGAGAAATAACAAATCATAGTATCATATTGTTGTAGATGTAACAAGTAGCACGATTTGTACGGTCTCTACCATTTTTTCCTCAGATAAATTTTCCTCCCCTCTCGAAATCAGGAATGATCTCGTATTGTGGAACGTATTCATCAGTTTTTTTTTTTCGCTTATTTCGTCTTCTCTAGCTTATACAGAAAATGTCCTGAACTAATCATGTGAATTGTTGCCTATACATATGTATATTACAGCACACAGTGATTCACAGTACACAAGTACATGACTTTTTGCCATCAACGACAGCAACAAACGTAACAACAATGATATCAAAGTAATAAAACGTACACATTTTTACTACTCCAATAGCCTAAGTATCTTTAGTTTAGGTAACGATTGCTAGCTTTGCGAGCTCGTTGCGAGATTTTTCTATCTTTGGAAAAATAGACCATTCCACTTATTAGTCATAATTGCGCTATACGAAAAGGGCTGTAAAAACAAAGTTTCCTTCGTCCCAAGCAATACTATAAACGTGCAACGCAAAGTAGGACGCAAATCTCGGAACTTTTATTAATTCACAAAGTAATGATGGCAGCAATACACACACATGTATATTAAGATACATAACTTCCAGCGTACATATCTACACCATCTGTCCAGATTATTATTATTATCAGTCACGAAATTCGCCTGCCTCTCTGTGGCAAAGCAACGTTTTTACAATTAACGTAATTAAACGTAAGCGTTTCCTATAACTAACATACTCATAATTCGGTTTCTTCTGTGAGATCTGTCGCAAGCTATATATATATATATATAAGACGTGAACGACAAAATGTTCCACATATAGGAAACCATAAGACTACGCACAGTTTGGTGGTGAACATTTAATGGAGTATATCGGAATGGTGTTTATGTACAGAGCCAGTTCTGTAATGAGCAAATGGATCTTGAAGATTGGAGCGAATGCGTCGAAACACCGCCAGATACTTTTTGCCAGCATTCCGTGTAACCTTTTTACCCTCCTCCGTGCTTTCATAGAGCTTCTCCACAATTGGATCTTCCTTCTATCATACCGCATAATAACGGACACATTAAATGAACACGGAAATTAAAATACAGAAATTAGTGACATAGCTGTTGACAACGCTTTCTACAAAAAACGGCAAATTATTTTACTGAACATTCCTTATTTGTATAAACTGCACAACGAACTCAATTTAATGTGATTAAAGCAATGTTTCGTTAGCTTGAAGATGTAGCAGGCCATCCAGGGAACCAATCGACAATAAATGCGATGTTGTCTTACAGAGTATGGAAAAACCACAGCATATCATCATATCTACTACCAGTAAACGGAATTCGTTTTTGCGCTGTGAAACACCTATTAGCTAGCATAGTGTAGTACTAAGATTGAAACGCTGTGTTGATTATCAGTTTGTATTAGCTTTTTATACTCTGACTTACCAGTTCGTCATTGTGCATTCGTTCGAAAAGCGGATGCTCACTTGTATGGGTGACCATCCACTCGTGAAGGTCGAGCACATCTGTAATTGTGTAGAGCCTACCATCGACGGCTAAAACGTACGCGTACTCAGCCAACAGTTGCTGAGAAATGATTCTCCATTTATGTTTGGTTCTCTTAAAGTGGGGATCGGGAAACAAAAAAAACATCTTCTGCAGTTGTCCCTTTCGGAAATAGTTTGGCAGGTATTTCATGGCGTTCGTGCGCAGGCAGCATATATTGCCATAGCAACCTGGGTACATTTTCCGCAGCGCCTAAATAAATTGAACAGCAGCTTCAGTTATCCAGATATCCAAAAAGCTGGAACGAATATTTTTAGTTGGACGAATATGGCATAGCATTGTTTAATCGTTTGTGATTATGAGTTTATGAGTAAGGAACTAGCAGGTCGAATGTCTCCTTCCAGGACAAAACTATATTTCTTCGAGATGTTCCAATATCCATTAGAATTAGGGGAACAGGAAAGTAATATCTGCGGCACCAGATATGCATTACGAAACAATCAGAAGCGGTCCCATCTAAAGATCCTTTATGCATATAGAAAATCACTACTGATTCTTCTTATCTTTTTTAAAAGCAGCTATGTGCTTTTCCAGCGTATGACCAGTACCTTACGTACCTTTATACGGTCCATTACATAGTCGGATACCTTAACACGAATTTCCAGTCCAACCATAAATTTGTCTGGGAACATACGCGACAGCTCCACTGAAAAAGATGATATTATTAAAAATATTACGCGAGATGTTCCTACCCATAATTATCATTTTGTTTCGAATTTTTCATAAGGACAGAGAATATAGTTATCATTGCAGCCAATAAATAATTGGCCTTACATTAGGCTCCTTGTCGATAAGAAAAAAATATTACACCGACCCACGGCACATCGAGTAAGAAAAAAACAACGTATCGATATGATTTTAATTTTTAAATCACATTGCCACGACTAATTTTTTTTTATAACGTTGACGCCGTATTTTTTATATTACCAATACTGTTTAAAAATTGAACGCGATTACGAAGTGCACTTGAGATTCGGGATTGTTCTCAACTCACCTAATAGGCCGCCGTATCCACAGCCAATATCAACAAATTCGACTTTCGATTTTTCAGGAGCAAAGCAACCGTCGTAGTACTTCGTCCAGTCCATATCAACCGGCGTACATGGGCTGTAGGAAATCATATGCAGCATTTTATCTCAGTGAAACATACGATTCTCGATAAAAAGTAATCATTAGCGAGGTTCAACTAGTACTTAAATCAAATTTGCATAGCATGCAGAATTGGTTCGCTAGGCGCTTACTTATTGAAACAGTGATCAGCGATCGGATTAGAGTGCGCCCTTTGTCGATAAAACCTCTTTTGGGGCAGATGAACTACGTCTTTGTCGTCGATATCCATTGTCGTTTCGTTATCACTTTTTTTAGTTTTTTTTTCATCATCCGCTTGGGATTGGTGCTCTATATTTCCGTCCTCTGCGCCAACTGCGATCTCCATTTAGGACTCAGTTTCTGTCGGTCACTACCTAAACACAACCATCATCCGTAACGAACAATTTGTCAACACTCGTAGATACAGACACGGATATCGAATGAAGCCACGTGTTCTTTTGTGCTACTAGTCTACGAACTCAGTTAATTGTCAACAGACCTTTATTTTGATTCTGCGTATTGCATATCTGTCTTGGTCTGCGCAGAATATAGCCGGGGCCAGCGGGCATCTAGCGCGAAGTCAGGCTACATGTACCTCGAAATGATACGCCGTCTTATTTTACTGGTTACTTAACCTGGGGCATACGCTTTTATTGAAACTGACTTAAACTGTTGCACCTGACACGCTAGGAGTGCCAAATTAAGTTAGTATTATGAGAGGATTTATAACAACATAACAAAGATAACTTTGTTCCCACGGGCTGTACAGAACAATATATAATTCACAGCGGTATATACAGAAATGTCGTTTATGCCTGCTTAGAGGAACCACATCTAGAGAGTTCGATTACATTCACTGGATAAATAATTATTAGTCTTCTTCCAGGCTAAACTAGCTGTAAGAAATTGAGAGAACGAATCGAAAACCGGTCGGCGGCAAGGCAGTACTACTGTGTTGTCCTTTAATGGCCCGAAGCACCCTATGGCGAAATTTAGTAGTTGGTCACAGTGCTATAGTATGTATATCTACTCTGTAATTTATCCTATAATATTCTATAATTGCCTTTTGCCGTTTCAGCCAAGTTATTGTCTTAGCTAAGGTCTTATTCAGACAAATGGAGAAGTTATTAAATATAATAGATAATAGATATAATTTCTAGTACAACATTCTTTAAACACAACTGTGTGCCACATTGGTACTCGAATCTGCACTAGGGCGATGCTTACGAATATGCAAACGTATCCTACAAGTTATAACCGACTAGAATTATAGATTGTTACAATTAGAAGTTACCTAGCTCTCATATGTTGGTTACCTTAACTCAATATAAATAATTCGAGTAATTACTTTAACTTTTTTTTTCGCAATTAATAGAATTTGTAACATCCGATTTCAGTTAAGTCATTATTTAGTCACTTTATTTGTATGCACTCTTAGACTGCTCTAAACTCACCTTATGTCTTCACGTGCCTTAAATTATTATCAAAATATACATTAATAGAAATAACTCTTTAGGAGCCCACATTTTCATTTAAAAAAAATATTTAAGTAACGGACATTATATTTTTTGATACATTTTTCTACTAGAGTGGTTGACGGGAAAGCCTCATGTACATAGCTATGCAGTTGTTGTACATTTTCCGATGCACTACAGGTATCGAAAATTTCGTATTCACCCCAGTATACAGGGTATCGTAGGACAGTGAACGCACTATTTAACGGCTCGTAATTTGGTGAACTTTCTTTTTGGGGTGTGTTTCTAAGGTAATCATTAGAGAGACGACCATCAACTTTTGAGCAAAGAAAATTTATTTTAGTATATCATCAAAGGAACCACGAAAATGTAGCACAAGTACAAAGACAATATTGTAGGAAGCTTCAGACATATCCATCTAATTTCAAATTAATCCGATAATTATAAATCGGAGGAAAGAAATTAATCGGAAAACAAACAGATCCAACTGTTCAGGATACCCATAAACAAAGTCCTGCTAGATCAGGCACAGCAACAAGCTTCATGTGGACATTCATGAGACATGCTACAAGACAAACAGTTGATTAGTTTGATTCCAGCAAATCAAGTGTCTACTGCATTTTAAGACGTTCTATTTTATTTACAAGTTATTTACACTACACAAGGCTATTAACGTTAAGAAGATGATCCGGATCAAAAATCTTAAAACGGCGCTTGGAAAGTGTCAACAGAACACAGAGTTTTCGAAAAAGATCATCCATACAGAGCTATGAAGCTACATACCTATTAATTAACACAGTTAATTGACGTGGTTCACTTACTACTGAAGTGTAGATCTGTATGTTTATGTATGTTATGTAATGTTTATAAATTCAATAAAATTCGCTGTGTGGTGCAGTACTTCGAATTGGACCACTTTTTTGCCAGTACAATTATTGGTGCCAACCGCTTGAATCTGAACTGGGGAAGGGATTTTCGTGAAGATGGCAAATTTGATTTTCAGGGATGGATCAGTTACACACTATCGTCGTAATTTAACAGCATACCTTGACGATAATATTGTAAACAGGTGGATCAAACGAAGAGGTTTCATCGAACCCCTTGCACGTCACAAGAAAGCAAGAGATTTTTGTGAAGATACATTAGGAAACTAAAAACACTGAGAGCCACAATACAACAAAGCGTTTGTTGAGGTTTGTAAGTAAATATATCACCGTTGGCAGCAGTGTATCGACGAGAGCATAATAACAATTCGCGGAACATCTGTGCTAGGAGGAAAAGTTAGGAGTTTTGTATGTGAAATGATTCGTAATTTTAATATTAATTAGAAGTAAGTATAAATTAAAGTTAAAACTGTTCGAATTATGTATGCATTTATTGTTTCTATCTGAACCGATGGAAGTCAATACAACTATTGAAAACTTCGTTGTCTAAAATATGCTATAGAATACTTGTCGTAGGTGAGAATCATCAAAATCAGGATCGTTGTTATGGAGCAATAACATTCGGTGACAATCGTCATAAATGGCCTATTGCTTGGCAGTTCGTATTCCACCTAGCCAATTTTTTTCTTAGGCTAAACAGAAACGTGCGTACCACCCTCGACAATCATCGTTCTTCACGTACCCGATACAACGTCAGGTCTCTCAACGCGTCGCAGGTAGCAGGCTGATTATATAGAAGTCTAGCGATGGCCATCGGCGTCAGCTTGCACGAAAAGATCATGTTTAAGCCTCACAATGTTTGTGCTAAATTGTCCGTTATTCCTTTACACAATAAAAAGCTAAGTGTGCTTGACTTATGGGAAGCTTTTCTCAAAGCGGCCACTAAAATTCGTACATATTCATCGAACATGAAAGCTAAATGCTGCGCGTACTGTTCGAATCGAATAAAACTTTTGTTTAGATGAATAAACATACTTGTTTTCCCCCATATTATGTATAAACACGTTCCCCATATTGAAATGACGTGTGTATTTTGGATTTGATTACCTTAGAGGTGTGCAATGCTAATGGCACAATTTTGTTTTCAGCAGCCTTACATTCTGACGACTGCAGCCACTAAGGGCCTTTTCTGACCGTCAGCAATTCCCTCCTGTTCGCCAATTAATGGACCGATTAGCTATTCTCAGTTTCCTTTTGTACTAAGTTGTATGTAGGAAACGTTTGACTTATTCACAATGAACGCACTCGTTGTTTTCTTGATGGCGGTAGTTTTAAACTATGTGACAACGTCATTCCTGTTGAGTCTTGGTACTGAAGATTTTCTATATGATAAATATTGCATATTTGCTAAAAAGATATAAATTTTCTGTTTAGTTAGTTAGAAATGCATAGAACTATTAAATTTACTTCTAATTCTAAGACACTTTGTTATCAAGGCCATTATAGTAGGCTGACATTATTATATTGTATCACAAGGATCGTTACGTTATCATAACACTCTATTCGGAGGGGGTAGCTGACCAAGTACTTGCCTTAACGCACTTGGAACAGGATATGATTAACTAAGGCGTACTAATCAACACACACCGCAAAATCCAATAACGTTTTTTTCAGTTTTGAGAGAACTATTGCATACGGTGTGCGATTCGTTTGGCTGCGTGGAAACGCACAAATCAGTGTATAAATATGCGAATCACCTGGATATGGCGAAAAGTAAATTAAAATGCCTTTTAAATAGTGCGTTACCCCATTTCATAAAGCAAGAGAGAACAATCTATTTCAGATACTTTAGTGAATACATAAAGCTGACTTCAAATAGCAAGCGGTCAACATTGGCTCACGTCTCAGCTTTGTCATACTTTATATATATATAATATATTCAATTCGTTTATGCAGATACAGATTTCCGCGCAACGTGCCCCACTAGCTGGATTCGTTCTAAAGGACACAACCTTAGAGACAAGCTATTTAGAATATACGTAAAATTTTTTAATATTTCTTTACCATTAACCATTTTCTAAAACTCTAAACTAAACTAAAATATGAATACATATGTACAAACTCTTACTCGTGAAAAACTGTATTATGTACGTATTAAGTGCGCAGGTTTAAAAGCAACAGAGAAATGTATCTAATAATATTCTTATCATAACGACAGAATTCGATATCATGCCGCAAGGTGGGGCTCCGCGTTTACCGAAGATCTGCCGTCGTCGAGTGTCATCGTTGAAACTAAGTACCAGTCTCACACTCCCAATACTCTGCTACCCCACGTATTCCCCCAGTTCAGCAGATGACGCTAATTAACTGCGATTATTATTATTACATTAACAAAGAGGCTCTGACTCAGTATAGACATTATACAAATTAAACAGTTTACAGAATGCTTTCATCTTGAAGGCTGCTTAGGCGTTTTTCGCTTGCTATTCAACCGAAGTACGGGGCGGATGGGAAAGTAGTAAAGAAAGACTGGCTGTAGTAACTGAGAACGCGACGGGCAAGCGTTGAATGTTACTTCTGACTAGGCCCTTCATGAAGCCACATTATTTCATCACTGGTGTTAATCCATTATATGCTGCAATAGGGCCTGAGCCAACGATCACACTTCGGAACCAGCAGTCTTTAATTAATCGTTATATCTAAATGCGTCGAAAATATATACTCACGTAGCAGTTAGGGTGTCAGTGGGGACAGTCTGACGTGGTACATTTATGCTAGACATGTGTATGGAAATTACCACAAAAACGTATTGAAACAAAAGTACAAAAAACATAAATACATCGCTCCGTTTTTTCCTATAACGGTTTCTGGCAAAGCGTTTACCTTGAACCTTACTTTGAAAGCATTCTAAAATCGGATAAGTTAATGAAAAATTTCAGCATTTTGGCTCTCATAGTTCCACTTAATTGTTTTCGCTTATCCAGGCATAGTGTTTCATGTGCAGGCCCCACAGATATCTTATATTGACATGAAATAGAATCTCATAGCTAATAAGCACAGATAATGCACACTTTCCAAAGTAATTTTTGTTGCATTCGGAAAGCACTTTAGTGAAT